GGACGTGGGCAGGAAAGAATGGTTATGTTTCTACATAATGTAGTGAGATCATGGAGAAGCAATGTAGCCACCCCCAGACAGGAAGTCATATCACAGCAGTGAAAAAAAAAAGGAATTTGGAGGAATGAGGCTGCAAACAATAGAAGGTACTTTTTGAGTTAAGAATACATACATACCTAAATAGAATTTTCTTTTTTTCAAACCAGAGTTTAGTGTAGGTTTAGTATAAGCTATGTTAATAGTCTGATATAGATAAAAAGCAATAGAAGGGCTGGAAATTCATTCCTGAAAATATGTACGTCTAGGCACTTGGTCATATAATCTCTGCATCAAAGTTTAACCTCATTTGATATTTACTTTCAGAAGAGATTACATAACTAAATGTTTAGATCTTCTAACAGTTGGCCAGAAGGGAACATGGAGCTGCGTGGACATTTGGTATTCCAACCCTGCTAGGTCCATTTTAAAATGCAAGCTTCAGGTCTGTCATCTGTGTCCTTGCTTCAATAATTAGTTGCTGACCTGAAACAAGCGCATAGGTTTGGCATCCACGCTATACTGGCTGCATACATATTCTACTTAGTGACTTGCTGATTGTTTACTATGAATCATTACACTTGTAAAACATTTATTTTCTATTTCTTTCCACTGCTACAGTGAATAACCCTGATGTTGTAAAATCAACTCAACACAACAAAAACAAATTTATGTAATAAAAAAATAACTCCAGGCAAATGCTTAAAAAATAATCTTAGTTCAATTTTATTTTAATAAAAGTGTGTTTTAAAATGCCACCACTTTGACTGCCTGAAATGTTTATTATCACCCCTCAATGTCCTACATAGCAGAAATCAGAACGAGAGGTTCTGAACTCTAAACTAATCAGGTTTTGCGGCCCTGCACAAGATTGTTAATTTCAAGGCAATGGAGGCGGCAGGAGAAAAGCAAATGGAGGACATCAGCAGTAGAGGATGATGCTCATTCTTAGGCCTGGTTCCAATTAGTGCAATTTCTCATGTAATTTCCATTTCTCATGACAACGGATATTACATTGTTTTCAATGATGCCCATTCACATCAATGCAACTCAGTACAGAGCAATTTTGTTAAAGGTTCCTGAGCTATTTTGGTGTGATTCCAGCACATTTCTGGCACCATAGACTAAAACAGAGGCACACAGAGACACACAGAAATCGCATGTACATGCAATTCTGATGTGATCTGGAAGTTTAATTTTTTGTTAACCCCCAACTCTCCTCAAAAGGCAAATCCTTGGTCCCTCAAAAGTAGTAGTATTAGTAGTAACAGATTTAAAATCGCAAAGGAGTTACACTACACTATTGCACCTGAAATTGAATCAATATCGCATTGCACTAATGTGAACCAGGCCTTAGTCAACTGAATGAGTAGGTGACACAGGAGGCTACAAATCTGCAACCCTGAAGAGCTGTGTGCCACAACTTGCTATACAGGGTATTTGAAGTGGCTGAGAAATAATTACAGATATTTTGTCAGTTAAACAGATCACTTATATGTATTTGAGCTTTACATTTTGGACTTTGCCTGGAGTTCCGCTTAAAGAGAATCTGGTCATTACCTTGCATTTCTTTTCACTTCTTCTTTATACCTGAAAAAAAAGGATAAAGATATTTTACTAAAATATACTGATGACTAACATTATTCAAGAACACCAAGAAAACAAATAGAGACACAGTAAGACCAGGTTCACACTTTCTGGCTGCAGCACGGGTGTATGCATGGTTTACGTGTTACATGTGTTTTTAGTGGCAGTCCACTAAGGAAACACATTTGGCCTAAGGCTGGGATCACACTTGTGCAGTGCGTTTTTGCCACAGCCCGGGTGTATGCACAGTTTATGTTCATTTTACATTTAGCATTTCCAAAGTCCTGCATGCTGCATCTTTGGTGCGCTTTCAGAAAACACAGCAAAAATGGTTGAACGTATAGAAATCAAAAGGACCACAACAAAAAATGAGTGTAAAATGAACATAAACTGTGCATACACCTGGGCTGCAGCCAAAACGCAGTGCACCAGTGTGGTCACAGCCTTAGGCCAGATGTGTTTCCCCAATGTACATTACAAAAAATATCTTTCTGACACATCCACATGCTAAAAGCCAACTGTATCTATATACCAAACCAAGAAACCTGCCTAAATGCTCTCTAGGAAGCGGAAACTGGCTGGGATTTACAGTTAGTCCCCTACATATGAACTTTAAAGTTGTGAACTTTCAAAGATACAAATATGCATTTACATATCAAATAGTGTCAGTTAGTTCACATTTCTGATGAACATTCTTATGCATGCAACCTCTACAAGTGGTTGTCCTTTTATGTATTTTACTGTATACAGTACTGTATATTTATTTCCTTATTTTTGATGTATTTGTGTGAAATGTGTTATAAACCTATTACAGTAGACCAATTGTGTTGGATGGGTACCTAGGCTAACTTTGTTGGACTTACAAACAAATTGGACTTACGAACATTCTCTCAGAATGGAACTCATTCATATGTAGGGGACATACAGTATTCACATCTTGTTTCAATATAGTCTTGTCTATTTCACCTCTGTCAGCTACAGAACCCCTCCCTTATGGTATGGGGATAAAGAGAGAGTAAGATGTTCCTGAAGTGTGTTTCCACTTTTGCAGCAAAAGTGGGAAAACTATTAATTTATGTTGGTTACACGTTCTCATTCATATAGCAAACTTAAAGTTAAACTAAAGACTCAAAATTTTTTTTATTCTAAAATAAAAAAAGATATTACTTCTCTTCTGGGGTCCCCTTGGCACTCTCCTTGCTCCTCTTCTTCTCTGTGTGCCCCCATAGCAAGCCACTTGCGGGCATACTAATAAATCAGGCTGTGTGCATCCATAGACATACACAGCGCAGCTCAGCCCTGCCCCCCATTCCTTCCTCACAGGATTTGATTGACAGCACTAGGAGGAGCCAAAGGCTCCTGCTGCTGCCTCTGTGCCTGTGAGAGCAGGGAGAGAGACCAGCGCTGCTGCAGACAGGCACAGTGCTGGATCAATACAGGTCTCAAGTAAGTATCTGGGGGTGGGGGGTGAATATCCACTTCTGTGAAGAAACTCTGGCAGGAAACTGGTAGATTGAAGGAATTCTGTCATGACTGCCCCCTTCTGACCATTTTAGTACCCATACTATCTCTGGATTTAAATCAATAGTGAACTGCCAAAAAAAATAAAAAATTTGCAAAAAAATGTCCTCTGCAAAATAACAGCACAATCTGCGAGTATGCATCACATACTCACACATTATGAAAGACATCTTAGAATGAAGCCCTCCAGCTGCGCACTGATAGGGCTTCCATCTTCATCTGGTCTTCTTTCCGAGTTCACGGGCTTCGACTTTTTGAATGACCGAGCCAGGATGACGCCACTCCTGTGCATGTGATCGGAAGTCATGGCCGCACCATGGCTCTCTCAATGGACGGCACAGAGTCTATTGAGAGAGCAGTGCACATGCGCTGGTGATGTCATTAGCTGCTTCACATGTATATATCTCCTAAACGGTGCATGTTTAGGAGATATATGCTGTACCTATAGGTAAGCCTTATTTTACACTTCCCTGTAGGTATAAGCACAGAAGGTAGGTTTACTACCACTTTAAGTTTACAAATAATTAACAAGAAACAAACATGCTGTCAGTGGCCTTCATGCCTGGCTTGTTACAGCTTTCCTCTCTATGGCTATATAAGATTGTGTAAGATACCTTTTTTTAATTTGATTCTGATCTTCTATTTACCATCAACTCAATGTCAACACAATCAATTAGGAATAAAGATTTTGCACATAGTAGATGTTTCCATTGCTAAAAAGGCAATAAAACCTGATTTACAGAAGAATTGGTATAAACATGCCCAAGAGAATCTGCCACAGCGGATCGAAGTTTTCTTTAACCCGCCAGAAAGACTTATGTACCTGTACTACAAAACACAAACTATAGTTCAGTGGTTACATAACAGTGTAAACATTGCCAGCTGTTACATCTTCACCTGCTGTAAGTGATATACACCCAAAGTAATTCATATTGTTAACAAGACCGTGTAAACATTCTGACCTTGCCTCAGTCTACTAATCCCTGGACATAAACCATATCTAATAATAAACCGAACATAACAAAAGTATCCTTTCCATTAAGAGTCAAAACATGACTTCAGCACAATACTATAGCATAAAAAATTTAATTGCTATATATGAACCATATATTTCAAGATGTGAGCATACATATATAAATTGAATAATCATTAAAATGACACTAAACCTAAAACGTTTTTTTGGCTGTACTTCTGTGGATCACAGGAGTGCAGTTCGTTCTGCACTCCTGTCACCTGCTGTCGGCTGACGTTACTCAGCTGGTCCAGGCTGCAGAAAAATCCCGACTTCAAAGTTGGGATCCACCCGAGTCTGGAGCAGCACCTGGCTGCTTTGGAAGACTATGGCAACCCATCCAACTACAAAATAAATCTTTCCAAGCCAGAGACCCTCAATATTAATGGTTCATTCAAGTTTAAGCTTTCACTTACATATTTAGTCAAAACTGCCCCCTCCTTAGAGGCTTTATTTACTTTGAAATTCCATTTCTCCACACAATCTGAACAGACATGAAGAGTTGGGATAGCGTCTCTTTCTCTTGGCTCAGGAGAAATGGAATCTAAAAATGAATATTCTTCTGCAATGTTCTCTATTTGTTACAGACCCTCCTAATCAAGCCCATTACTTAACTTCTTTGGTCAGAGTTTCGCAAATTTCTCTGGGCCAACAAGCAACAGCAGGTGAATGCTAGCAATCTGGCCATGCATACACTGCAAAATGCATCAGTTTCCCTGATCCAATTCTCTATCATAGGACAGTCCACATAGCTAGAGACAAAGATTGGCAGAAAACACACAGCTACTAGGCTATGGGTGCAACTTCAACAAGATCAAGTCAGTGTGGATGCCACATTTGTGTGATCTCTAGCTGTCAGGCTCCGCCCAACGGGATCTCTAGTGGTCTACGGCACGGGGTCTCCCAGGACGCGGAGTCTAAGTCCCAGTCTGCCTTTTCACCAGGGCCCCTGATGGTGGGGATGGACTTGGTGCAAGACTGGAACCAGGTCGCGCCCCTGGGCACCCCCGGCGGCGGCAGAGGGGTCCCGCTGAGGGTATGTGCCCGGGATGAGCCTGCTGTGAAGGGGATGACAGGTCCAATCCGAGCGGATGGATGGGATGACAGATCCCGATCCGAGCGGGATGGACAGATGACAGATCTCGATCCGAGCGGGATGGATGGGTGACAGCTAGGAGTGAGCGAGGTCAGACTAGCCAGGTCGGTATCGTGTGGGCAGCGTGGTACAGGGGGAGTAAGCGGAGAATGGTCGGGGTCACAAGCCAGGTTCAGCAGGTAGCGGGCAGCGCGGTACCGAGGGTCAGGCAGAAGGATGGTCAGGGACGAGCCGGGGTCAGAGCAGGAGAGGGTCAGCATAAGTCAGAACAGGCAGAGTTTGGCAACCAGGAAGCGTACTTACAGGATCAGGAACAAGACCTTGCGGCAACCTGGAGATGCACAGGGCAGCTTTAAATAGAGCGCCCTGTTCTCCCATTGGTGCGGCCGCGATCACTACTGCGCATGCGCGCGGCCGCCGCCGCGATCGCCGAGGACTCTGGCACCGCCGAGGACCCGGGATCCCTGACATTGCCCCCCCCCTACGGGCAACCTCCGGATGCCCAACCGACCCCTACTGAACGGCTGGTTCTGAAAAAATTCCCGCACAAGTCTTGGGGCGTGCACATTTTGGGCCGGCTCCCACGAATTTTCCTCTGCTCCATATCCTTTCCATTTAACCAGAAACTGAGTTTGGCCACCCCTCTTCCTACAATCTAAGATAGCTTCAACTTCAAATTCCTCCTCCCCATCCACGTCTACTGCCTCCGGTGGTTTAGACCTTCGATCCGGGAAGGGGTCTGGAGCCGCTGGCTTCAACAGGGACACGTGGAAGACCGGATGAACCTTCATAGACTCGGGCAGTGCAAGCTCGTATGCCACCTCGTTGATCTTACGTTTTACCCGAAAAGGACCCAAGAATTTGGGAGCCAATTTCTTCGAAGGGCAGGGCATTTTTAAATTTGCGGTGGACAACCAAACCTGGTCTTCTGGCTGCAAACTCAATTCCCCCCTTCTTTTCTTATCAAATGCCCTCTTATTGTCACCCTGGGCCTTTGCCATTGCTTCCTGCAATACCTTGCTATTGGTTGACAAAAAGTTCAACATATCCTGCGTGGCCGGGACTGCGACCTCCGGGATCAGATCTGGCAGGAATACAGGGTGGAACCCGTAGTTTGCGAAAAACGGGGACTGTCTAGTAGCCGAGTGACTCGCATTGTTATCTGCGAATTCTGCAAGTGGCAGGAGAGTAGACCAGTCATCTTGGAGGAAAGTGGTATAGCACCTGAGGTACTGCTCTAGGGTCTGGTTTGTACGCTCCGTCTGGCCATTGGTCTGTGGGTGGTAAGCGGAGGAGAATGATAGCTTAATTCCCAGGGTATCACATAGAGCTTTCCAGAACCTGGATGTAAACTGAACCCCTCTGTCAGATACAATATCCCTGGGAATTCCGTGGAGTCTTACCACTTCCCTAATAAACACACGTGCTGTCTCAAGGGCCGTAGGTGTGTCCTTTAGAGGTACAAAATGGGCCATCTTGGACAGGCGGTCTACAATAACGAAGATTGCTGTGTGGTCCTGAGAGGGTGGAAGTTCCACAATAAAGTCAATGGAAATCATTGTCCATGGTCTGTCGGGTATTGGTAATGGACACAAGAGACCCCAAGCCTTATTCCTAGTAGGCTTGTTCCTCTGGCAAACGGGACAGGTTTTTACGTAAGTTTCGCACTCTCTGGCCATATTAGGCCACCAGAAAGTACGCTGCAACAGCTCCAAGGTCTTACGTACCCCAAAGTGCCCGGCCAGCGGGTGATCATGGCAGTATCCTAATACCAATGTACGGGCTTCCTCAGGGACCACAATCTGATCCTCCTTCCAGAGGAGTCCCTCCCTATTTAGTAAGGGCACACCGGGTGGACCTTGCATACCTACGGACGCGGTCTGCAATTGAGAATGGAGCTCCGATTGGAGGGCTAGGAAATTCCCTGGGGACAGGATAGTGTCTGGCTTGGGACTCTCTTCGGGATCCCCAAACATGCGGGAGAGCGCGTCAGGTGTCGTGTTCTTAGACCCTGGCCTATAGGTTATATGGAAAAAGAACCGTGAAAAGAACAGTGCCCACCTGGCCTGACGTGGCCTCAGACGTTTAGCTGTTCTCAAATACTCTAGGTTCTTGTGATCCGTGAAAATCAATATCGGGTGTACCGCCCCCTCTAACAAGTATCTCCATTCCTCTAGTGCCACCTTGATCGCCAAGAGTTCCCGATCCCCGATATCATAATTCCTTTCAGCAGGAGTTAGTTTCCTGGAGAAGAAAGCCACCGGGTGCACAAGCTCCTTGATGCCCTTCCTCTGGGACAGGATCGCCCCAACCGCATTCTCGGATGCGTCTACCTCCAAGATATATGGCAAGGACGAATCGGGGTGGCTCAAAATAGGAGCTGCCGTAAACAACTCTTTTAAGACTTCGAATGCCCTCTGTGCCTCAGGTGTCCACTGGAAGCGGACCCCCTGCCTGGTCAGCTGGGTGATAGGGGATACTAGGCCCGAAACGTTCTTAATGAACTTCCTATAAAAGTTTGCAAAGCCGATAAAGCGTTGGACCGCTTTCTTATCGGTGGGTGCTGGCCAATCTAAGATGGCCGAAACCTTTTGGGGATCCATGGCTATTCCCGTGGGAGAGATGGTTAGACCCAGAAATGAAATACTACTCTGTTCAAAGCAGCACTTGTCTGCCTTGGCATACAAGCTGTGTTGGCGGAGCCGTTCTAACACGCGCCTCACGTGACCTCTATGGTCCTCCAAGGTGGGGGGGAAAAGATAAGGATATCGTCTAGGTATACAATGACGAAGATATCCAGATAGTCCCTGAACACATCGTTTATGAAATGCTGGAAGGTGGCTGGAGCGTTGCATAGGCCGAAGGGCATAACCAAATATTCAAAGTGTCCGAATCTGGTACGGAATGCTGTCTTCCACTCGTCCCCCTCTCTGATACGGACTAAATTATAGACACCTCTCAAGTCTAGTTTAGTGAAGACAGATGCTGATTTTAGCCTCTGAAAAAGTTCGGGGACTAGTGGTAGCGGGTAACGGTTCTTCACCGTGACTTTATTCAAGTCCAGGTAATCTACGCAGGGCCGGAGGGACTTGTCCTTTTTTTCCACAAAGAAAATGCCCGCCCCAGCTGGTGACGTGGAGGGTCTAATAAACCCCTTATGGAGGTTTTCATCGATGTATTCTCTCAGCACCCCTAACTCCCGCTCGGATAAGGGGAATATCCGCCCAAATGGAATCTCCGACCCTGGGAGAGATCAATTGGGCAGTCATAACCTCGGTGCAGGGGGAGAGTGTCCACCCCCCGCTTGCTAAACACATCCAAAAAACTATGGTAGGCCGAAGGAATGACTTGCGCCAGTTCCACATCTGTCTCTAGACACAACAAGGTCTCTGGAATCGGGGAGGTCTTAGGGAGGCAATGCTGCTGGCAGTATGTGGAGAGGAACTGGATAGAACCCGTCTTCCAGTCCACCTGGGGATTATGGGCTCGTAACCACAAGAGCCCCAAAATAATTGGAAATAATGGGGATGCTATGGCGTCTAACCGAAGGAGTTCTTCATGATGGGTCGATATAATAGTACGGATAGGTGGGGTCTCGTGGTCCAACCACCCCTGACTTAATACGGGATCCATCTGCCAGAAAAATATTCAATCCCACCTCCTTAGCCTGTAGGGGGATTTGTTGCTGAACTGCAAAGTCCAAATCTATGAAGCAACTACACGCCCCAGAATCCACAATTGCTGTGGTCACCACCGTTCTCCCCGGCAGCTGAAGTGACACAGGTACCGCTAGATAACTAGTGCTGCCCACACTGGTAGAATTGACCGTAGAAAAAACAGCGGAACACTTACCCCCCTTGGCTGGAGAGGTACGTACCACATGGCCTGCTCCCCCACAGTATAGGCAGAGATGGTTGGTAAGACGCCTCTGGCGTTCCTCAGGTGTAAGCGTCGGCCGTGTCCTTCCCGGTGGCCCGGTCTTGGGTGTATCCATAGCATCCTGATTCTGGCTTGCCGGCTGGAACTGGGTTGAAGCCTGGGGGGGTGTTTCAGTTGGTCCTTGTCCTTGGTTGCACCTTTCCTGCCTGCGCTCCCGCAACCGGCGGTCAATTCGAATAGTCAATGCTATGAGGGCCTCCAAAGTACTAGGTATGTCTATTCGGGCCAATTCGTCCTTCAGTGATTCAGCTAACCCTATGCGGAACTGGTGGTGCAGAGCCGCCTCGTTCCATTGGCTGTCACTACACCAATGCCTGAATTCGGCGGCATAGTCCTCCACTGTCCGGTGACCCTGCCTGAGTGTATATAGGGCCCTCTCGGCCGTTTGCGGCGCGCAGCGGGTCGTCATACAAGAGGGCCATAGCCTCAAAAAATACTGTCACTGACCTCAACAGTGGGTCTCGATTCTCTAGGAGCCGGTGGGCCCAGTCTTGGGGTCCACCCTGTAGTAGGGCAATGATGAACCCTACTCTCACTGATTCAGAGAGAAAAAGGTCCGAGGCTGGAGGTCAAAGTATAGCTGACAGGAGCTACGAAAGGCCCTGAATCTACTTCGGTCTCCAGAAAAACGTTCTGGTGTGGGGACACGGGGTTCAGGCGCGGGTAACAACCCTGGTATCTCCCTAGTGGGTTCCCCAGACCCCCTGGTAGATGTAGCTATGGTCTGCATGCGACTGTCCAATTTTGTATAACCCTCCTGTAGACCCCTAATTCCTAGTGTAAGGGTCTCCATCTGTCGGCAGATGTCATCCAGAGGGGACGTTTCCCTTCCAGGCTCAGTCATGGCCGCAAGGTACTGTCAGGCTCCGCCCAACGGGATCTCTAGTGGTCCACGGCACGGGGTCTCCCAGGACGCGGAGTCTAAGTCCCAGTCTGCCTTTTCACCAGGGACCCTGATGGTGGGGATGGACTTGGTGCAAGACTGGAACCAGGTCGCGCCCCTGGGCACCCCCGGCGGCGGCAGAGGGGTCCCGCTGAGGGTATGTGCCCGGGATGAGCCTGCTGTGAAGGGGATGACAGGTCCAATCCGAGCGGATGGATGGGATGACAGATCCCGATCCGAGCGGGATGGACGGATGACAGATCCCGATCCGAGCGGGATGGATGGGTGACAGCTAGGAGTGAGCGAGGTCAGACTAGCCGGGTCAGTATCGTGTGGGCAGCGTGGTACAGGGGGAGTAAGTGGAGAATGGTCGGGGTCACAAGCCAGGTTCAGCAGGTAGCGGGCAGCGCGGTACTGAGGGTCAGGCAGAAGGATGGTCAGGGACGAGCTGGGGTCAGAGCAGGAGAGGGTCAGCATAAGTCAGAACAGGCAGAGTTTGGCAACCAGGAAGCGTACTTACAGGATCAGGAACAAGACCTTGCGGCAACCTGGAGATGCACAGGGCAGCTTTAAATAGAGCGCCCTGTTCTCCCATTGGTGCGGCCGCGATCGCTACTGCGCATGCGCGGCCGCCGCCGCGATTGCCGAGGACTCTGCACTCGCCGGCTGGGACGGATCGGCCGTCTGCGCATGCGCGCACCGCCGAGGACCCGGGATCCCTGACACTAGCTTTTCACCACCCCTTAATGAGAGTGACCTTTCAGACCTTGGCCCAGAATGGTAGGCTCTACTTGAATGGGTCTAAACACACCTCTACTCCTTGACTCTTTGCCTCTAACTTCTTCTACAAGTAAACAAGTTTAGAATACAACGCTTTTTACAGTCTGGTGGAAGGAAAATGGCATGCAAAATTCATGATCTGACAAATCCACCACTATCTTTATGAAGAGCAACTCAAATCAGAGATTTTCAATTAACTCTACCTAAACCCCAAGACTTGACAGTGTTCCGACTTCCTTCGTACAAATTGCAAAACCAACCACCCACTATGTCCCACCATTATTTCTCAAATAGAAAAGGGACATTGGAATTTCCCTTGCATCTGAACAGCATGACAACATGTTCTACATTGCCCACAAACTGCCTACTGCCACCAAGACTCGAGAGCCAGGCTTTAAACTTCTTTCAAGATGGTACAGGATGATGCATTCACAAATGCTATCTACAGGTCTCTCCGGTTTTTGAGCGGTGTGGGGTAAAAACTGGCACATTCGGACATATTCTTTTACAATATAAAAATTCCTTATTAATTCACCTGATCAATGTGACAAGCATGTGTATTCTGTTCAAATGGAAGAAATCCTCACATTCCCTGTTGACAATATGGTTTTTGAAAATTCAGGACCTATATTCTATGGAAAATCGTATTGCTACTCGTAATCACTAAAATGATTCAGGAAGATATGGTTTTATTGGGTGGACTACCATATCCTCAGAGCAGGGGGATGCCTCTACTGAAGATTAGCTTACCACACAGGACTACTAAGGTGATTGAACACTATGTCTTGGGATTCGTGGAAGTGCCCAGGAATCCCCCCCCCCCTCCTTTTTTTATCATCCCCCCTTCCTATTTTTCTCTCTCTGTTTTACATCTGCCTTAGTAGAGAAGACCCAGGTCTCCCTATATAGCCAGGGTTTTTTCTTTCCTTTAGTACAATGTTCTGATTTTGTAAAATTGGAAGGAGACTGCAGGTTTTGAAGGAAGTTTGCAAGGCATTATGTGATATTTACTATCATCACTCTTGGAGCCAAATACTGATAATGGATTGATGGTTAAAGAAGTATGCTGATGCTATGCTCAAACTTTTGCTTTTAGACTTGCACTAATTGCTCCATGCGTATGAATACATATAGCCTGTTTTGTACAACTGATTTGTTTGTGTGATGTTTTATGGTATATCTGTTCACCACTGTCTCAATCCGATTTTGGTACTAATATAAGGAATTAAAACAAAAAAGTAATCAAGGCGTCAAATGCACTAAACACAGATTGCTAATGGTATGTTCAGAATGTCTGGTGCAAGATTTACCCAAAGTAGTATACTACTGCCCACAGGTTTGCAGTATCATCAGTAAAGATGTAGATGTCAAGGGGTCTCAGCAGCCCACTGTAGCAATTGTATGTACAGAGATGGACGCGGTCATCCATCTTGCTACAGATCCTCCATCTTGTATCATTCTCTCTCTCTCCAATCCCCCTCCCTCAGGAATGCGGTCTGTATGTATGTTGAGATCACAGGCATAAGGCACAGCAGGATAGCTTCATGGTTATAAATTAGCCTGGGCCCAGTATGTCTGTGAGACTCTTGCTTGGAGGTGATCGTAAAGCTATAAACCAGTCCTTCACTGAACATGAAAGACATTCCGAGATAGCCGTAAAATAGACATCACATTTAAAACCCACTTTTCCATATAATTCCATATCTTAAGATAAGAAATAATTACAATGGAACAAGGCATATATTCAGATAGCTCAGTTTAATGTGAGTCGCCTGATATCTTACACCCCTAGTTAAAGTCTACAGGAGAGCAGAAAGCCATATAGTTCTAGCTGAAATAGTAAGGTATGGCATATTTGATGTCTGCACGTTCAGGATATCATTCTGCATATTAATCTACTAGTGGCTAGGCTGCTACATGTACCTAGGGAAGGTTATTGACCATGGAATAAACTTGGGTTTATACTGAGGGATTTGGTCATAGCCTGAGTTCCCCGCCTAAAACAACCCTCCCCAAATGAGGTGAGTGGTTCTCTGCTTTAAGGAGACACCCTGCTGGGTTCCTAGAAAAAGGCTTATGCTTGGAGCAGTAAGTTGAAGAGATCTCCCTTTTAACACCAGGAACCAACTTTGGAAGAAAAGGCACCCTTTTGCTCAGGACACTTGAATCTGCTTAAACCAAGGTTGACGGCAAGTATTCTATCTACCTCTCTAAATTTCTTTCTGTTATCTCCATGTTGTGTTATTGCTCTCTGTATTTTTATATATATATATATATATATATATATATATATATATATATATATATATATATTGGCTACATCTTTGTCTGTAAATACTTTTATTGCACCATTTTGACCTTTTTAGTAATAAATCTTATATTCTGAGAAGTGTTGAACTGTTTCTAAAGCTCTTTAATACAAACTAAGAATCCCTGCCTCTGAAGAGCGCTACTGTGTGTTTTTAAACCTCTATATACATCTGCCTGCGGTGACAGTGTGTATACAGATGATTATTCAAACATCATAGTGTTATTGCTAATATTGGCGAGTTTCCTCCTCTGTACAAAATGGCGGTGGTGGCAGTATGAAGGGTTAATTGCGTAATTAACCTGACCCAGTAACATTCGCTCTCAGGCTGCAGGTACATAGATTGTGGTCCATTAGCTGGAAAATCTTTGTGCAGGGTGCAGCTGAGCATGGCATTGTTACACGCGTGACAGAGTGGTTTTAGATTGGCTAGTCCTTCGGTCACGAGTTGGTGAGAAGGGCTGGGGGTCTGACGCCGCGACCGTAACACCCACATGTAACAACCACCCTAAAAAACAAACAAACCTAATAATATATCTATCTAACACTGCCAATTTGAGCTGTGCAATTGTTCCTAATAGCCTCATCATCAGTGTCAATGTACATTGTGTTCTTTGTTCTGCCCTTGCTGTAAGCCATAGCCCAGTAAGGACACTGTCCAAATATTTATGAAAGCCTAAAAATGTGAAAAAAAAAAAGAATAAAAAGCTTTTATTGTTTAGCAGAGAACATCTTTTTTTAGCTACAGTAGGAATAGGATCCCATACACACCATAGCAATTTCATCAAAATGTAGCTACGTGCCTGATGATTTGGCTATAACATTATCATTGCTTGTCACACCAAAGAAATATTTATACTGTTTTTTTTTTTTTGGGGGGGGGGGGGGGTAATGTGTTCTGAAAATGTTTTTGCAATGAACTGCTATTTTCAACGTATAGTAGCAGTTAAAATGTATACAACTAGAAAATACAAACTTCTTCCAGTGATAGAAAGTACACACTTCATTCTAATGTAATCAATTGACAAAGTTCCACTGAATGATCTCTGCTAAAACCTTCTATGATGATCATTCAACCAGGAGTTTCTGTGATTGGCTCCTGCTAAAAGACCAACATTGAAAGCCCATTCACACCAGTGCACTATGGTAATGGCCTTACAACTGAGTTAGTGTGTTACAAGTTCTTTGGTACATTTAATATGATGTACCTCCTCAAGGTATCTGCATTGTCGCAACGCACAGTAATGCTTCCCAAACTTGGAGCATGGTCGATTCTCAGTCCACTGTGGTACAATGGCAGCCCATTCAAGAGAGGACACCGTAGCAGACCACCTTTGTGAGAATCTGTCCTTAGGGCGGCATCAAACTGCGACGCTGCACTTTTACAAAAGTGCAGGATACCTGCGCTTTCCCATGGACTTTTATGAGGTCCTATGGTTTCAGAAAACACACTAAAACTCCTGCATGCTGCATCTTTGATGTGCTTCCTGAAACTGCACAAAAACCGTGAATTAGCTGTGCTTTGCCCAAAGCACAGCAGGACAGCACTAGGGCAGTGTGAAGCTACCCTAATTCTCAGGCTAGCAGCAAGTCTTGGCAAAAACATGCATAGAGGGGAAGGGATGGTGAATTTTTTTTTTTTTTTTTTTTTTTTAGAATTGTAGGCTTACATGAAGCCCTGCCATAGCAAGCAGCTTGCTATGCTCAGTTTTTATCAATTTACACACGAAGCCATGGCTCAGCCCCAACCCCTTCTCTCTTCTCAATGGCTCACTGGCTGTGACTGACAGCTGTGGCAGCCAATAAGGAGAGGGAGTCCCAGGATAGCCAAGACTCCAATGCACATCGCTGTATTGAGAGAGGGCTTAGGTGAATATTGGGGGGGCTGGGGGGGATGCTTTTTTTGAGCCTTTGAGCCTTTAGAACCACTTTAACCAGTTCCCAACCGCGCTATAGTCGAAGGACGGCTACAGTGTGGTTGTCTAGTTCTGGGACGACGTCCATGGACGTCATTCCAGATCACGCCCCCTTGCATGCCCCCAGCAGCGAGCACCCGGCAGCGCCGGTGATCGCTGCATCCTACGGACAGAGCTGATCACGTCATATGGTAAACAGCCAATCACGGCGGCCTTTTAAAACGTGATCAGCTGTATCCAATAACACAGCAGATCACAGGGTAAATACAGTTGCTGGTCATCAGCTGCACTTTCCTCACGCTGTCACAGCGTGAGGAAAGTACTGCCAAGAATCAGTAATTGTCAGCAAA